TACAGAGCCCAGAAATAGACCCATGCCTACGGTCAACTGTTCTTTGACAAAGGGGCAAAGGCGACACAATGGAGCAAAGATGGTCTTTTCTGCAAATGGTGCCAAAACAACTGGACGTCCACATGCAAAGAGAAAAAAAAAGCTATCAACTCAAAAATGGACCGCAGTCCTAAATGGAAGACATGAAACTATAAACAGTACGGGCAGCATGGAAGACGGTTTGGTAAGTTTTTGCAAAACTAAACATACTGCATTATGTGAGCCAGCAACTGTGCTCCTTGGTATTTTCCCAAAGGAGCTGAAAACTTAAGTCCACACGAAAACCTGCAGACGGATATTTAGAGCAGCTTTACTCATAATTGCCCAAACTGGGAAGTCGCCTAGATGTCTTTCAGCAGGTGATGGACATATAAAGCTGTGTGGGTTCTCACAGCTTTATAGTCAAATCTTGAACTTGGGTGTGGGCTGTGCTGGGTCTTCTACCTTTATGTGGTCTTTAAAATCAGCTTGTTGATATCTACAAAATAACTTGCTGGAATTGTCTATTGTCCCTCCAGACAATGAATATTATTCAGAGCTATCAGCCATGAAGACACACGTAGGAACCAGAAGTGCATATGATTAAGTGAGATAAGCCGATCTGAAAAGACTACAGACTCTATGGTTCCAAGTATGCGACATTCTAGAAAAGGCAGAACTATGGGGACAGTAAAAGGTCAGCAGGTCAGGGGAGGGAGAGGCGAACAGGTGGAGCGCAGAGGATTCTTAGCACAGTGAAACTGCTCTGCGTGACACTAGAGTGGGGGTACCTTTGCCCAAACCCCCCAGAACGTGCAACACGAAGACTGAGCCCCGATGCAGGCTGGACTCCGGGTGCCGATGACCGGTCGGTGCAGCTCATCATTGTAACAGAGGCGCCGTCTTGTGGGGGGTGTCGGTAGTGCGGGAGGCTGTGCATGCGGCGGGGAGGGCGGGGCGACAGGGCAATCTCTGCACCTTCCTCTTAAATTTGCCGTGCGCCTAAAACTGCTCCCAAAAGGTAAAGTCTTCTTAAAGATCAACGATAAAAAACAAAGGAAATGGAAATTATCTGCCAACCCTTGGGGGTGGGGGACAGAAGAGCAAAATAAGACCTTTACCGAAATAAAAGCCCCTCCAGGAATTTCACGAATAATAGCCCTTGTTGGAAACCCAGTCAGGGACGGGAGGCAGGTTTGAGAAAAGCGCCCCAGACCAAGCGGAAAAGGACGGCACGGAGAGTGATTCGCGAGAAGACGCGACAGTGGCGCACGGGCGAGCTAGGAGACAGGAAGTGAAAGGAAAAACGCCTGACATAGCAGAAGAAAACTTTTCCGAAATAAATACAGGCCAGAATACATCGTTTGAAACCCCGATGACAGTTAGCCAAAACACGAGCACATGAAGTCGCCAGGCTTCAGAGGTTAATAGACCGTGTGGGCGGGGTGGCGCGGTGACAGCGGCGGCACTGGCCCCGGGGGGAGGGCG